GGCTGCCACTAGCAAAGTCATAATCCGGAAAAGAGAGGTCGCCTTCTTTAGGGAATGTGAATAAGAATTTCGAAGTTCAACTGGAAACCTACATTTGTCCACAGATGGATCTACGGTCGTGATCAAACCTAAACCCCCAAAGTCACAGCTATCTGCACTTTGATTGTGTTGTTGGTAGTAGCTATTAAATGCATACGATACGTTCCCAGGCCAACTAAGGTTGGAACATGACCCGCCCGGAGACAGTGCAGTGCAATCAGCAGCAGAACACGCCTCCTGAGCACTCGTAGTTGCATTAGACAAGTCCTTGTTGTTGTTCAGTACACACCACCTTAATGGGAAGTACTCAACATTTTGTGCATTTACAAGGTTTCTTGAGCCTTGGCCAAAATCAACTCGATACTTGGCTTGACCATCAAAAGTGAAGAGGCCCCAGTGTCTCTCGAAACTGCCAGCAGCTACACTTCTTTGATCCTCGTCTAAGAGGCTAAGTATGTACGTCTCAATTGGTGGAATTTTAGGTCTCAATGGCGTCCCCACTCTGCTATGAAGATGCTCCATCAAGCCTTTTATAAAGGTTTCTGCAATGGCTGAGGTTGCATTGGCAGCTCCATCTGTAGGCCAGCCGATTTGTGCCACGACAATGTTGATTCTGGAGAATCCTATAGTTGACAATGCAGCAACAAGAGTATCATAGCTTAGGTCGAAGCTGTTTTTGTATGTTCTACGGCTGTCATTGCGAGGTTTTGCAGTTTCTTTGAATAGAGCAAAGTCAAGAGAGATGTTTTTGTTTTGGTGGAAACTTAAAAAGGGGGAGATGGTAACAAAAAATGGTGAGCCATGCTTTGTTAGGAATGTGAGAAGTTGAATCATGGTTCTGTTAACGTCAGCTCGGAAGTGCCCTTTTGAAGGAAGACCTGACTCTGACAGGAAGGCATCAAAACTGCAAGGAACCACTACCTTCACCTTGCTCTCCAAGTTGGCTCTGCGCAAAGCGGTTTGAATATTGGTGGCTGCTCCAATGACAAAAGGATGGAACTGCTCGCCATATCTCTGGAGAAACGGTTCGTCTCCTACAGCAACATACCTGTAACAAATTTTTTGATTAGCCATCTAAAAAAATGAAGTAAGAATCATATGTGAACCAAAATCAATTTTGCATTTTATGTAATCAACAAAAATGAATCAGAAGTATTTACAACTGAAAATAAGAAACTCGGCCTACAGAATCCTGCTAAAAGGCCATTTGTTGATGCAGGTAAATCCTTGTTGTTTTCTCCAAACATCTTTCTCCTGCTTTGCATTTTATTTTGTACATAAATATTTTACCAATATGACTAAGAAAAGGAGTAAGAAGATATAGGCTTCTTTCTTGAAATGGACGAGTTCTAATGATAGAACAAACTTAGCAAAATGAATCAGCTGAACTAAAACAATCAATGACGGAGAACCATTTTATATAGGTGAGAAAGGAAACACCAAAACTATCACCTAATTAGGAAAAACATCATCGAATCTAGCGAGCTGAAGAAAAACAGTAACCAAAGTTGCAAAATCCATTCTGAGCTAATGAGATATTTTCATGTCATGGTCACCAGTTGTATCTTTTGCAACTGAAATTTTTTCCAGGGAAATCATTTTCTGTATTTATGATGTCTGTTGATATGTCCCCGAGCTGAATTTCTGGTGACATCACATGTTACTTTTCGCTTGGTGTAATATAGTGTAGGAAAGTTAGGAAATCTGATCCCATAGAATCAGGGAATTAGAATTAGAATTATTCTGGGATATTTTCCGTTTTAGTTCTTTCCTTTTTTTCTCCTTTTTTCTGTTACTATTTTTGCTCCTCAATTCTAGGAACCGAACCTTGTG